AAGAAGTTTTGTAGTTTTGATAGTTCATAGTATGTTTCCTTTACTTGAAAGACATAGATCCTTCATAGGTTGCATGTGTCCTAATAATTTAATTGTTAAATGTTTTTCCGCTTAGTGCATAGAATTTTGTAGGGAAATCTATAGAAAAGTCCCAAACTTTTGGGAAAAGTTTCAATAAAGTCCTAAATGTTTTTTTAACAGAAAAGTCTCGATTATTTAACATTTTGCCTAAATTAACGAAAAAGTCTTTTTTTATATTTGACCAACAAATGACAGATTATATGATTTTCTCAAAATAATGAGACTTTTCTGTTCAAAAAAAAAATTAGGACTTTATTGAAACTTTTCCCAAAAGTTTGGGATTTTTCTGTAGATTTCCTGAATTTTGTAACCTATGTTTTCCATCAGTTTTATCATCTTAAAACACTCTACTTAATCCAATTTCAAATTCTAAAACTCACATAGTTTGTTCCTAACTCATTGAGCAACCATATGAATGTTTTTAAGTAGATAAAAACACAACCAATCCCATTGTAAGTGCTTAATTTAACTATGGAATCCTTAATTTCATTATTACACTCTAAATGCTTGTGAACACTCAATTGAAAGGGTTAAGATCTCAATAACACTCTTTAACCAATATGACTTATTCCCAAATCATTTAATACATAATTGGGTGTTGTCAAGTGTATAAAACATGTTGTAACCCAATCCAATCCCATACCAAGCTCTTAATAATAAAAGGATTGTTCAATTTCATAACAAATTCCCAAAGTGCCCTTATAAATAAAAACTCCATAAATTCAACTAAAGATCATTCAAGTCTTCATGCTTTTGTGTTCAAATCATATTATTTATATCAAATCATGTTTATGAGTATCATATAGTCATCAAATGCTCACATACAAAGGATCCATTGTTGTCATCACAATTTCCCCAAAACCATCTAAAATCCGTGTTTATGCAACATTCTACCATTATGGATGTGTTTGAGCATTCCAATTGGATTCATTGTACTCAAACAACATCTAGGTCATTGAATTCATTCCATACTAACTTATTGATACAAAATCCCTAAATTAGATTTCTAGGGTTCATGGAGATTCTTACCCAAATCATCAAATCCATCAATGGTGTGATTGGATTGAGATTAGAACCATGAAAACAACTCAAGGGATGTTAGAAAACCAAACCCTAATCATCAATTGAAGCCAAAATTGACATTGGGGTTGAACTAAAAAATAGAGGTAAAGGAGAAAGATTTATAACTTGTTAGCCTTTGATTGCTTCTCTTCCTATTTGGAGGCTTCAAAACTTGTTTGATTCAAACCCTAGATGGAGAAAGATATAGAAATAGTCATGGGAGAGTTCTTGGTTGCCAAATACGATTAGAATAGAGTGCAGGGAGTGTATGTGCATCTTATTCCCCCCATCATCCTAATTTAGTAAGATTCCGAAAATGCCCTTACTCTCCTTGATTTGGGGTAATTTTCCAACATAATTAATGATTTTTCTCTATCTTTCCAGCCTTGTAACTTGGCCATACGAACTCCGATTTGGGAAAATTTTATATATTTGGAAAGTCTGTTAGGAGTACTACAAGTCCTATGTTACTTGTTTCATCTGAATATGTCCAAAATTGGAGTTATTCAGCCGTGAACATGGAAAGTCAGAATATTACAACATTTCAAATGTTTAATCTACAATTTTCAAACAACCACATTTCATTCATTATACATCCGTATTGTCTGATTATTTTTCATGTGTATTATTTGTTTTATGGAATACAACTTTCCATGATAATGTTCTTTATAATTAACTATAGATATCGAATTATTAAACTCCAAAGTTGGTACCTTGCAGCTGCCAAATTTCCAAATCAGCTTTCATTAACTTTTTGTCCAATTTTGCAATGTTGTAGTTTCTTCGTACGAACACCTTTTAAGTTGATTGTTTTTTATATTGCTTCATTTGCAATTCCATTACAAGTTACCTTTGTACCCTCTCTCCTTACCTTTCCTCTATGTTTCGCTTTTATGGTATCAAAGTTGGAATTTTATCACTTTTATATGGAACTACAAATTTCATATTATTTTTCACTTTTGCCCTTGAACTTAATACATTACATCATAAGCATATAAAAATCATATAATTTGTAAAATGATGACATATTTACTATTATATCCCTTATTGGTTATGTAAGGTAGCCAATTTACCTCTTTGACAATTTTGTCATTTATCATTTTCCAACTTATTTCCATTTCTTTTCACTTTCTAAACATCCAAATTTTGGATGTTACAATTCCCGGTTTGCATTAACAGGATGATGAGATGCAACCTCTTGCATGAGCAACACACATTTTAATTAACTATATTAAAAAATGATGCATAATTTGGATTAACATATTCATGAGGAACTAACTTTACAAAGCTACAAATATTTGTTTCTTGACAAAGAACATATGTCAAAGGTAAATGAATGAATGAAATACAATTAGAATTGAAGTAGCATAATGAAACTTTAGTTTGAAGTTGGAAGAACACAAATGTTATTTTACTTAGAATTGTTTTTGTCACGACCTTAGTGGTTTTTATGTTGTGTATGGTAATACTTATTTTATTTGTGAAAATAACTATAATGGCTTTACCACAATAGTTTATTATTGGAAAGTTTATCATCTGATTGTTGTTCATTTTTATAGTAAAAATATCAAAATTCCAACAAATCAAACAAACAGATAATTTACAATCCAAAAATCCAATAATCCACACAAATTTTACGTTATATTACAAAACAAATTGTTACATTGACAATCCAACAAAACATACAAAATAAAAAATAAAAAAAAATGCAAACTAACATGAATGTCAACATTGAAGAGGCAATAAATACACGTCTATCCACCACTTGGTAGAGAACAAATTATACATATGTTTTCATAATTTTAATGCATCGATGTAGGCCTTCAGTCGAAGAAGAAAATTCATGATCACTGAAGATCCTCTAGAATCGACAATGTGTGTCTTAAGTAGAGGCAAGTTCGCGCTATGACTACATGTACATTAATACTTGTCAGTTGTTTGTCTTTTAGTTCATCAAAACTAATTTGTAGCTAGTTATTCACTAAAATGAATATGAAATGCCTACATGTTGAAATCTTTTTAAGCTGCTCTATAACTAAATTAAAAACAACACAAAACAAACAAGATTAATACCTATTCAACAAAACGAGTGAAATGTAGATTGTTTAAAATAAAAAATCATTTAACTTACTTGGAAATAGTACACGATATATAGTAAATTACAATCTTCGTCTGCATTAACTTCTTCAAAACATTTTTTAAGAAAGTACAACTTCTTCGGTGATATATGTTTTGTATTGTATTGGTTGTTCGACATCATCGACTAAGTATACATAAAAATTGTCCTAATGAGTAGGCAACAAGTTTTCTCACAAGTTATTTTTGGAAGGATTTTCATGAGGAATCAATTCCACTCACAAGAACGTAACATGTTTATTTATTTATTTATTTTATTTTTTTTGGAAAAGAGTGTTATCGTTAATCCACAGGGTTTATGTGGTTTTATTTTTAGAAAAGACTAAAATCTCTATATTGAAATACACTATTTATTTTGTGATTTTAGTGAATAACTTTTATCTACAACATCAGATTTTAATTGAGGGCATGATAGTGATTTAGGTATTGTTTCTTTTTTACTCAAATGTACTTAATGTATAAAAAGATTAACGAATTCAATTATATATATAGCCATTAAGTAAATTATATAGACTTAATTTTTTACTTAATGTTAACAAAACGTCATAGAAAGGGGTGTTTCCTTAGCATTAAGTAATGATTTCATATTTATTTTGCTAATATGCTATAACAAATGTTTGGATTTAATTTTTAATTTTATTATCAGTTTACTCTGTTTAATTTAAGTTACTAATCATGTTATTTAAAAAAAAAACTTAAATATGATGATCTACAGTTTAATTTATAATGATTATTAAACAAATGGTAAATTGCTATTTACCAATTTTAAATAGAATGATAAAATAGTCATTTATTTGGATCCAAACAATTATTCCAAAAAAAACAATATAATATCTATGGAAAAATTATCATTTATGATCCATTTAAATATACTTTATCGATTGTTGATAGAAAATCAAACCCTTGATTAGCAAAAGTAGTGCTAATAAAACAAAAGAGACAACAATAAGTAGAGGACATGAATACATGATACTCATGATATTGATTTAGTAAGCAAAAATGTACACAGAAAACAAAGGAAACAACAAACTGAGGATACGATACTATTATAATCATTGAAGAAACATAGCCCCACCACTTTGAGTACTAGTAGTTCACAAGGCTACATTTTTTGCTGGATTCACCCTCAATAAGGATTACATATGATGTTAACAAAATCCTCCACCAATATATTGTTTTTTCAGTTGTGCCATATTACGCTTTTGCAATTAATCCTAACATCATCTAACATTTTATTAAATTGGTCTCATTTAACATATAATTAATTAAAGATTTTCTAGTCTAACAGTATTAGATGTTGTTAAAAAAAATGTCCTTGAGTCGTAAAGATCTTATCCTCTTATAAATATATTTATAAAATTATAAATTAATACTAATACGTATATAAAATAAGATAATAGGACCCACAATTGATTAAATGGTCTTGCAAACAAACTTGAAATGGATATAGAGAGAGTAGCGACATGATGTCACTTTAAAATAAAAGCCGATTCAAAACTTGAAAGTGGTTATTTATAGGGTGATGCATGTGCACTTAACCAAACATTGAGAGATTCAGTCATATTTTGATCATAATAATTATTTTCCCTTCAAAGACATGAAACTTTATATTTTAATGATTTTAAGTAGTGATTGGTTAAATTTATATGTAGTTAAAAAACATTTATTATATATATATATATATATATATATATATATAATGTATGTATGTATGTATATCATTGAATAACAAATGAACTGTGTATGTATTCCGCTTTTCTTTTCTTTTGTACATGACAATAATGTTAAATCTTCCACTCTATCAATAGCAATTAGCAAACGCTATTTGTGTTTTTTTTTTTTTTTTCAAAATGTGGAAGCAAAAATGCATTAATTGCATGTATATCTTCAACCCATTTTCAAACAACCTTCATATCAAACACATAAAATATTAATTAATTAAAATAAAAAACAAAAACCAAAACTTTAAATTAAGGTTAATTATAAAAAAACGGTTTTTCGGATAAAACGTCAACTTTATTTATTTATTTTTTATAAAAAAAACCCTTATATTTTTTTTCCGATTTGGCCTTTACATTTTTCCTTTTTTTATTTGGCCTTTTTATTTTTCCATATCGCCTCACATTTTAATATATTTCTGGATTAAACCACAACTTTATTTTTTACCATTAAAAAAATCTTCACATTTTTCCATTTTTTTCCGAATTGGCCCTCACATTTTTCTAAGTTAAACCTCAACTTTATATTTTTTACTAAAAGAAACTTTATAATTTTCTATATTTCTGGATCCGACGACAACTTTTTCTTTCCTAAAACCTTTGCATTTTTTTATTTTTTTGGTTTGGCCTTCACATTTTTCTACTTTTTTTTTAACTTTTGATTTGACCCTCACATTTTTTTAATTTTCTGAATTAAACCTCAACTTTATTTTTTTTCTTCTAAAAAACCTTTGCAATTTTCAACTTTATTTTATTATTAAAAAACCATTACATTTTTGTGTAAAACCAGAATATTACCAGTAAAATGTAAACGTACTAAAAGGCCAAGTCAAAAAGAATGGAAAAACATAAGGTTTTTAACATAAAATATAATTAAAGTTTAATCCGAAAAAAAAACAATACATAAGATCTTTTATATAACATAACTCTTTAAATTATTTCAACAACCTTAAATAAGTTTGGGTACCTGTTAATTAGGTCTTAAGTTCAGTGATCCTCCTATCGTTTCCACACTGATTTGGCTTCCCAGCACACCTCTATATACATCTCAACTTTAAATCCTAATAAAATGTTCCATTCACATTTTATGAATAATATAAAACTTAAAAACAATAAAATAATACGTACCCTAAACTCCTGTTGAAAATATCTAGGCACATTCTCCTTTAACCCCTAAACACAATTTTTTTTTAAATACAACAATTACCAAATAACAATACTATACATAAATATATAGAATATAATATTTATAAAAAAAAAAAAACTAACCTTATTCAAACGTGGTGGCCTTACAAAGGATATAACTTTAGTATCCGATTCATTTTTCAAAGAAAGCTGCCATGATCAGATAACTTTAGTATCTGACTCAATCAACAACTATCAAACAACCTTTTATAAAATTGACTCAATCAACAACTATCAAACAACCTTTTATAAAATTGTTATATGAATTTTTTTACCTTTTTGAATAACTCTATCGGTGGCATATGTGAATTTTGCTTTGAGTTTAACATAAATCCACCTTCTTTAATTGGGTGCACCTATGACAAAAAGCTAATTAATTAGCTTACAACATGATATTCATATATTCCAATTTATCATTATTATTTATTTATTTTGTAATGTTGTCTCCACCTTGGCACTATTGGAAGCTTTTAGATTATTTGGTGATCTGGATTTATCATTTCCAAAGTTTTTGCTGCAAAAAATAACAAAACATTTAAAAATTTTAAACCTTAATTCCAAATTCCAAATTCCAAAATAAACTAATAAAAGTTATCTAACCTCTGAATCAATATCTCTTCAATCATTGGAGGAGCGGATTTTTGTTTACAGAGTATTAAATTATCACAAGCATTAACTTTTCTGTTGAATGATTGTGATTTAAGAGTGTTTGTTTTTGGTTGTTGAAATGCTTCAGATTTATTATGGGACCTAAATATAAAAACAAGATGTATATTGTATAAATATTAATAGTTACTTTATACAATATAAATAGCACAAATGTAAGAAATAGTACCTAAGCTTTTGAGCTTTTTCTTGTGTTACCAATTCAGGTTTTTGGGGAATTGTAGTTTTATTACATCTAGAGTTTGAGTTTCCCTCCATTTCTGCAACCTTTTTCACAATCTTGTGCATAAATGTAGTGCGATGTTTCAATTGGGCAACCTGTTTTATAAGAAAAAAGAAAATTGAAATTGTTGTTTGATATTTTTAAAGATGTTAAGTTTTTATACCTTACGCAAATAACCAATTTCTAGCTTTTGTCTTTTGGTAGTTTGGTTTGAAGATATGGTAGGAGGAGATGTTAAGTTTTCACCAGGGCTAACTAATGGCTTCTGCACCCTGAAAGGTGATAAATAACAAAAGAATGAAATTTTTTAAAAAGAATTATGTGATGAAAAGAAGGGAAATGGATTATGGAACTAGAGAAAATATGAACACCTTCCATGGCCTCCAGAATGTGTGTTTGTGTCACGCTCTTTATTTTGTTTGGCTAAATGACTAGCAGTTGGTTTCATGAATGATGAACCACTTGGTTTAGATGAGTTGACTGTGGACTTTGACTTGGTTTTTGAATTGTCTTGAGGCATATGATTACGATGCTTCACACCTGAATCAGAAAAAGATGTATGTTTGATTATTAATGTGTATTGATGGATGGGCCTCTTATGTTGTTTTTCAGTTGAGATATAAGGTTAGGAGATTGATGCAGGATTAAGTGGGACATAGGACATACCTTTGATTTTTGCTTCTTTTGAGGGGGCTTCATGATCAATGTCACCACCATCTGAAGTACTGGATGTACTAGTTTTTTTTCTGAAGCTGGTTTTTTGAGATTTCATTTGATTGGCTTTGGCTTTTGCTGCCTTCATCATCTTTAACTTCAGAATGAAGGCTAAAACACAAGACATTTTCATCAGGAAAAGGCGAGCCAGTTAGATAAATTCAAAGACTGAAAACAATGCTACAGCAACAGGTAGCTAATCTGATTAATGTTAAGAAAAACAGTTTACTACATCCATATTACAATTCAGACCTCAAATTTTAACAGATAGATAGCTAATCTGATTATGTAACAGCTAGAATGAAGTCACCATTGTCGGATTTCATCAGGTATAAAGTTTCAAGTCAAAGCATGAAATGCAGATAACAATCACAAAATTTGAAAACTCAATATCGGCTGGTAGCTCGTCAATTTAAAAACGAATTCATGGCAGAAACTGAATCTAGCTAGCGAACCTCATAATTTATGGATGAAATTATCAGCAGTTCAATTAGTAATACAATCAGAAAAGTCAATAAACAAACATAAATTAACATATATAGCTCTCGGAGCGTGATGATTGAAATAAAACATAGTCAACGCCAATCTAATAAACTAAACACGATCACAAATTGAAACGCTTACGAGAAGGTGGATATTCATGAGCGTATCGGAACCAGCTCTCGGCTTCTTCCGCTTCGGATTCCGTTTCGCCTCTCATAAAATCAAAAAACTGACAAGCATCAAACTCGTATTCGGAATCAATATCAGTCGAAAACGAATCTTCATCTGCAAGCAATTCCTGCATAATCTCCATTTCTTCGTCCATTGTCTCCTCCTCGTTTATATTAGCCAAGAACTGGTTCAGAGGAAATCAGGGGAGACGGCGGAGGAAGAATGCAGATTATGCCATTGGAAAGCCCTGGTTCGAGAGATATCAAACTCCGATTAATTTGAAACCCTAAATGTGAAATTAGAAAGAAAGGGGGAATATGAGAGATTGAGAATCGTCGAAGTGAACGGCGAAATTTTCGTGAAGCTTAAAATCGATAGAGACATACATGCGCTGCGCCTGCCTGTGTTTGTAATTGTATCCGTTGTTTAATGACGCGCCCAGAACTCCCCTTTCCCACTGATATTTTGAAAATGTGGGGCCAATTGTTATATATCATTCAACTATTTATTTATTGACTTTCAAGAGTATATTCTTAATAATAAAGTTTAAACAAATATATGAAAAAAAAAAGAAGAAGACAATTTTAATGTATGGCATTGGATTAATTATTTGAACATTTGTTTTTATAGGAATTTATAAAAATAATCTATGTTTTAAGAACTTAGTTAAAATAGCCAAAAAAGAAGAGTTTATCAAAAAAAAATAAAAAATAACCAACGAAACCGCAAAACAAATACGTGGTTTCGCCGCCTTGTGGTCTTCGATTTAGTCCATTATTGACACATAGTCGGCCTAATAGTATGTGGATATAGAAAGCCTGACTTTTTTCATTTTCTAAAATCGCAGATGGTTAAGAGCATTGTGATTTTCTCTATCCTAACCTGCAAAAAAACATGTCATTTGACTACGATTTTGTACATTTTGACTATGGTTTGTGACATCTTTAGCTACGATTTTGTAAATTTTCGTTTGTCTGTATATAAAATTTAGACTAATTAAAGGGTATAATTTTTTATATTTTCACTAGTCAAAGGGTATGAATTTATAGTCAAACTAACAAATAGATATGAATCTGTAATACATCTTTAAAAAGGGCATACAATATTATATCGATAGGTATGTACACTTTATAAATAACAATATTACAAATAATATAAAATTTTATTTACATCTGTCAAACGTGGGCGAGGGACTGTGCAACATTATAACAACACCCTCAACTTCGTACAATGGGGTAGACGGACGTTGAGTACCCTGCTCTAAGTCATGTGGCTAGGAGTGCGTTGACAGGGCGGCAAACAATTGTTATACATGTCATTCGTCTGCCAATTATTATTATAACTCTACAATAAATAATTAGCGCTCACATATGAATCATTATTATAACTCTGTAGTAAATAATTAGCCCTCTAGAATTGTTATGACTGCATATATATTGTAGTTATGGTTTGAGAAATTTAATTTTAAGCTTTTTTTGGTATTTGTGATTGTTATTGAAATGTTGTGAAAACCTATAAACCCATCATATTTTATATAAAGTTAGAGTGTTTATACTCTTGTCTTCGGAAGTGGTACTACACATCAATATTAGGTTGGAGATAGTGGTGTCATACTCAATCATTTTACCACACTGACATATATGCGTCACATCACATTTTACTACAAAAGAGTGGTTCCTTGTCACACTCAAGGAGTGGTGCCACACTTTTTTTTAACAATTTAATTTCAATAAAAACTTTAATTTTCATTAAAAAAAATAAAATTTCATTAATTAAAAATTAAAAAATCCATTACATTACATTACTAAAAAAACATAACATGCCATTAAAAAAATCCTACAAACTTAGAAAAAGAAACTACAAAACTTAAACCTACGACCTTAAAAAACATACATGATTAAAAACTTAGAAATAAAAACTAGAAATTTTAAACCTATTTATTAACATAACGTTTTTTGAGATCGGCTTTCATTGCCAAAACAATTTAAAGCTCCTTCACGCTCATGTGCGATGTGTTTATCATCGTTAATATTCTCAAGTCGCAATCCCTTTATTTCCGAAACTCTCTTTCAGAAGCAAGTTGCGAAACGGTCTTCTTTTCCCATCCAATCACAAAATGCGACTATTTGAGGGAGAGTATTAGGGTTTGTGAAACCCGTAGGTTGCTCCATGAAAACTGTATCAGTAAGATCACCATGCAAGAAGGCATTTTTGACATATAATTGATGAAGATGTCATTTGTGTAAAACCGCAAGTGAAAGAACAATGCGAACTGTTGAGGCCTTCACTACTGGACTAAAGGTTGCAGAATAGTCCAAACCAGGTACCTGTGTAAACCCTTGAGCGACCAAACGTGCTTTAAATTTATCAACCGTGCCATCAGCATGAAACTTCGTACGGAATACCCATTTAGAACCCCCAATATTAGAATTTTTAGGCCTAGGAACAAGTTCCCAAGTATCATTTTTTTGAAGAGCAGCCATCTCATTACACATGGCTGAGTACCAAGCTCGGTCCTTAGAGGAAGATATGAATCCTCTCGGTTCTTTTGTGGTAAATAAAGTATGATGAAGAACTGAAGAGGATAAATGAGATAAATCAACCCGATATTTTGGTTTAAAAATACCATTTGTAACATCCGGATTTCCAGATATATTAATTTATGTGATTATTTTGAGATTCATTGAGTGACTCGACGAGTAGTGAGTCTAACTCGTCGAGTAGGGCCGAGATGACCACGTGGGATTAGTGGTCTACTCGACGAGTCTGAGGGTCGACTCGCCGAGTAGACGCTGAGTGGTGAAACCCTAATTTCCCGGGTTTGGGACCTATTTAAAGACACTTATAGCCTCAATTGCGGCTACCTTCCCCTAAGAGAAACCCTAAACGACCATGGATCTTAAAGAGAGAGTTTGAGCTTGCATTTGAGTGTTTTGTGCATTACTTTTGAAGTGAAGAGGAGGATTCAAGCAAAGAACGTGAAGGAGACCAGTAGATCTGAGGTTATCTTGTCCAAAAGCTTCTGAGAGAGGTAAAAAGTGCTCACCTTTCTCCTTATGGTGACTAGATTTCCATGTTTGTGGTAGTTAGGGCTTTTTACCACCTATTGTTGGGACTTTGAATGCATAAGGTCCCTTTTGTGGTCTAGACTTCAGATCTGGACCTTGTAAGTCCAAAGAGTCCCAAAGTTATAAGCTTTACCCAGCCATTCAAGAGTTATAGTGTGCAAGCACCTTGTTGGAATTGTTTTGAGCATTTAGAGCATCATATAACATGCATGGACATAAAGATCAAACCTTTACGTGATTAATGAGCCTTGTGATCATAACTCTGAAGTTTGGGAAAGTATCTTGCACTAAAATGGTCTGAATGCAAAAGATTCTGAATAGACTCGTCGAGTTGAGCCGCTGACTCGGTGAGTAGCCAAGGTTTTGTCCCGATGAACTAAGTCAGGTGGTGACCCGAAGAGTTAGGGGTTAGCTCGTCGAGTTGGAGCTTGCTGGGGTTGCCATGAATCGACTGGACTCGACGAGTCTCCCGAGTGCACTCGGCGAGTCTGGTCAAAGCTGGAGTTGACTTTTGTTGACCTTAGGGTTGGTCAAGATGAGTGAAAGAGTTCAGGAAAGGTAGAATGGTCTTTTACCCATTTGAGAGAGAGAGCATAGGAAGGGAATAGTCTAGCCTTTGGGAGCCATTGTTAATTAGAGGTAATTTCTGTATGTGATTAGGCAGAGGCTAGATCGGTGTTTCGAGTTCGAGATCATCCGAGTTTACCCGAGGTGAGTCTTCTCACTATACATTACCTAGAATGGTATCTATGTGCAGACCGGAGGGTCTTATGTATTATGTGTATGTTTGAGATTATGTGCATTGTGATATATGTATGCTATGTGTTATATAGACCGGACCGGAGGGTCCAACGACTTCCGAGGCCAGAGGGTCCTCGAGTAGACCGGACCGGAGGGTCCAACGATTTAGGCCGGACCGGAGGGTCCAACGAGCTAGACCGGACTGGAGGGTCCAACGAGCTACGGGACTGGAGGGTCCCGCTGAGACACATTGACCGGAGGGTCATACCGAGTTATAGCCTCGAGTGGCTTATGTGCTGTATGTGGTATTTTGGGGAACTCACTAAGCTTCGTGCTTACCGTGTTATGTGTTATGTGTTTCAGGTTTTCTCAGGATCGCGGGACGGCACCGGCTTGATTGTACACACCAGAGAAAGAGTTATGTTTGAGGATCCTGGATTATTGATGGAGTTGTGTTTTGTAAATTGAATAATCGAGATTTTTATACAATATGTTATGAAAAGTATGCGATTTTTAAATGAAAATTTTGTTTGAAATTTTACGTCGTTACAAGTTGGTATCAGAGCCTTGGTTTGAGGGATTCGGATACACCTTCGGGTATGTCTGGACTCAAACCGAGGATTTGAGAAAAGTTTTCAAAAGAAACGATTTTTCTAGGAACGAGTAAATATTTCAAGAGAAAGCGGAAAAGAGCAGTGTGTACAATCAGCCAGCGCCCGAACAGTGATTTCCCAAAATACCCTTACTTTTGTATTATGAGATATGTTACGAGATATGATGCATGTTAGAGATAGGCTAGATATTTCATATGTTAGGACTAGAGTGGCCTGATTTGTGATGCCTTAGCCTAGGAGTTGTTGTTATTTGTGATGTGCTTTAGAGTATATGATGAGTAAGAGTATCCAGCAGGAATCCTTTTAGAGAGGGATTTGAGTAGAGGAGTAATCTAGGAGAGATACCTAGATGAGCATTTGTGGAGCCTATTGAGAGAGTAGTTAGATACCCGCGAGGGGTAAAGTTGCTGAGTTCGGTGATATCTTTTGAGTATGAGTAGAGCAAGTGGAGTTATTGTTGGATTAGATGTCTAAGCCCATAACTATTATTGGTATGTACTTGACCCGAGAGTAGCATAGTCCATTTGGGTTGCATATCATCAGGACAATTTGTTAGGATGGACTTTTGAGAGAAGGTTATTTATGGTTTATTAATATATTATAAGTTATAATATATTAATATGAAATCATATGTTTTAATTAGTATCGATCAAGAATTAATTTGGAATTAATTTAGTGATCAAAAGAGACTAATTAAATCTATGGGGACTAATTATGATAATTAGTTATATTTATATGTGTTGGGCTTATGATCCATGTTGGACCAAGTTTATGTATGGATACATAAAGAGTTGGGCCACATGAACCATGGATCATAAAACCCATGGGTATGGATTATGGGTTATACCCATGACCCTTGGAATCCTACATATAAAT